TATGTATAAAGTTTCACATATATCAATGGCATCCTTTGGTTCAACTTGTTATAGTGCTTGATAACACGATGAACAGTTTCAGGTACATACTCAAGTACCAAATTGAGATAAAGTTCATCCTTCTCTGTTGTAGAAAAAAAAGCAATGTTTCAAAGCCACAACGTTTGGGTGGTCAATAAGTCGCATTGTTTGCAGCTCACGGTTCTTGTACCTCTTATCTTGAAGAACCTTCTTTATAGCAACAGTTTCACCTGTCTCCAAGCACTTTTCCTTTAAAAAGAAAAAGAAAAAAGAAACAATGAACATCCATATAACCTAAAAATGATGATTAGCAAGTTATGCCACCTTTCGCGAAGCAAACAAGTGTTTCTTACCTGGAAGACAACTCCAAATGATCCATGTCCAACCACACGCTCAGCCATGTAACTTATAGTCTAGAATTTATAGTGATATATTAGAAGATGTCATGTAATGAAAGAAAATGGGGAAGAAGGATAACTAATGTCTAACGTTTAATCACTGCAATTAAATCTCAAAGCAGAAGAAGTAATACCTGTTTCGGCTGACCATTTCTACCACCAATCGTTGTCACAATTATATGCCCTGTCTCTGTCCCATTACCATCCACAACTGTTGCTTCCATTTCCTAAAAATTAGAGATGATCCATGAGTCATAGAAGCATTTCGTTTTTCTTTTTGGTTTACTAATGAAAGCGAGTAGTACTCAGTAATTATTAAATTAAATGATTAGAAAATGCAAAGCAGGGAATCACAATGGTAAAAGGAACAAAAAGGAGCGTTCAAAAATGCATACTTTTTCATCTCTAATTTTCATGTCATTCATCTCCTCGGGTAACTTCTCGACACCAGCAGCACTAGATTCTGTTACACCAGAAGTAGGCACCGTGCCCCCGGAAGCCATCTTTAAGACAAAAGACTGTCCTCCTAATTTTTCACCTCACAACCAATCATTTATCTACATTGCAAAAGGACAAAAAGATGTTACTAAAACTCAACTGAGATACAACAAATATGTTAAAAACAACCTCTAACATTAACTGCACCATGAAGACTACAGTAGAACAAACTCACAGAGTACCCACAAAATATCAAGTGCAATAAACCCCTTTTACCTATGTAGCAATCCAACCTTAACACACACACACACAAAACACTCGTCCCCTTTTCAAAACCAGCAAGAATCTTAACAAATACCAATTATTTTAGCCAGAATATAAACTGCAACAGTTTTGAGCCCATCAAAGCACAAATCTTTTAGCTTTTATCTTGCATATACATATACGTACACTATCATACTTACATACGTATATATTATACACAGGAAATCTCCACATCTAGCTTAAACAAAAGGATTTTAAGATATCATTCAGACAAAAAGGAGCTAATGAGACTTCAAAAAATATAATAGCAAATAAAAAGAAGCATAAACTGAAATAATTTTAGAATTTATTATTACTATTATTATGAATTGGTTTGATTTCTTTTATTTATTTATCATTATTTATTGACTTGAAGAATAATTATTTAATATAACCTACGAGCAAGATTAAGAAATTATTACATATGACAATTATTATTTAAAAGGATAAATTACACAAATAATTCATCGACTATAAAATGCTACTTTGTTAAGTGTTCCGACAATTAAACGTTACGAAATATTTCTTTAACTAAATGACATTGTTCTATAACTTTTAAGAGTAGAAGAATTCAACAAAGCGACGCCCTATAATCGATGATTATTTTATAACTTTTAATAGTCGAAAGATTCATTATAACTTTTAATAGTTTAGAGATTCAACAAAACAACGCTCTATAGTAGAGGAATAACATTTATTCCTTTACCACATAGACCACTTGGTTCGTGCGACTACAAGCAAGGTTAAGAATCACATATGACAATTATTACTTGAAAGGCTTTTAGTTGAAGACGCATTGTCTTCCGACGACTTTTCCGAAGACACACTGTGTTCTCGGCGACTTTCCAAAGACGCATTGTGTTCCCAACGACTTCCAACAGGTACTGTAGCATTTACACTAAACCAGAAAATAATTTCGATTAGACCTTATTTCAACGAATAATGTTTTAACAACCCTACAACAGAAAATCAACCCTTCATTGATACAGTTAGGTGGGAGAACTACTATACAAATCATTTTCTATTGGGTCCACCTTTTTCTTAAAAAAATTCAATTATATCACCCTCGTCCATACTTCATCATCTGCTCAAAGTTACAATATATTATTTTACTAACCACATTAATTCACTAATAATATTAATTAAATTAAACTATGATCGATACAAGATTGTAAAATAAAGACATAATATTAAAAAAATTGTATTATTTGATGAAGTAGTTACTTTGGTATTTATATTTTAGAGTATTTTGGCATCTAATATTTTATTTTGAGATAAAAAGATCTCTCAATGAATGATAATCAAAGTCAACAAACAATTAATATTTCAAAATATGAATATTTTGTCTTAAATATTAAACATTAGTTGGTCAAAATGCTAAAAAAAAGAATAAGGTCAGAGTGACTATTTAGTCAAACGTTAGAAGTTATCTTACCTAAAATTCTTAAAGAAAAAAATAATAACTATTTAATCAAATATTAGGCATATTTTTTAAAATTATGCCTAAGAATGGGCACAAGACTCAAACTTGATGGTCTTCGACGAGACCCAACCCTAGTGGCTTATGTTTTTTTATTTCTTTCAAAATTCAAGTTTGAGTTGGATCAGGTTTTTTAGAAGATAAGTTCGAGTTCAGATTTTGGAAGAAATATTCGACCGACCCAATCCAAAAAATAATGTAAGTATACATTATATATTTAGAGATAATTGAAATATTATTATTCTCTCTCTCTATATATATATTCAATTAGATCCTTATTTTATCAAATAAAATTAAAAATATTATATATGTTTATATATTTGTGTTGGATCAAATACATGTTTTATTTTAAAAGACTGGTCGGGTTTTAGGTCGGGTGGAGTCACCGTCAACTAGGGTTGAATCAAATTTTTGATGGGAAATATATTTTTCTCGGGTTGATCGAAAACTCGATCCAACCCAACCTATACCCATTCTAATCATGCCTAAAAATAGAAATTAAAATTCTAAAAAATAAAACTTGGAGCATAAGACATAAATTATTATTTAATCACTATATTGCGTTAAATAATTATTATATAGTTAATAGAAATAATATTTAATTAAATTTAAAATCAATTATATATTTAGATCAATTATAAAAAAATTGATGTTATTTTTATTACTTTTTAATCAAATATTTTAAGAGATTCTGAACTGTACAAATGATTTTGGTTTAATAATAAAATCAATATTTTAGAAATTTTCTAATATTAAGTTGGAGTTTTATCTTATGCAAGTTTTGTATAAATTCTCCCAAAATTTCTGCATTTGTCTCTCCTCCGCCGCAAAGCTTCTTCCTTGTCTTTATTCTTAATTTATAGTTGTTTTGTGGGTAGGGCAATTTCAACCCAACAAATAAAGTTTGGTATTCTTTTGTTTATTTCATTTGAACCCTAATTGGTGCCGCCGTAAACCTTCATTTCTACTCCGTCGCAAAGCTAGACTTCCTTTTCTTTGTTCTTAATTTATAGGTGTTTCATGGGTAGGGCGATTTCAATAGTCAATGAGCCTTAATCGGCGGTTCGCTTCGGTGCCGGTCCACCATTCATACCTCTAATCCAAAGCTCCCAACACAAAGTGCGAGTTTTGTTCGAGTGATTGATTTAACTTCCCCAAATTTCGATTTTTTTTATTATTATTATTTCCGAAACTGCAGGTTTAGCTTTCCAGAAGCAGCCCCTTTTACAGCCATCTTGAAATTCAGAGTCCCTCCCCAAAATCATCAATGGTAAATCAATTCCTTCCATCTACTTTTGTTAAGTATTATTTTTGTATTTTTTGTTTTGTTTTGCATGTTTTAATTAGGATTTGGGATTGGCAGGTTTTAACTGGCTTAGATTAGCATTTTTGGAGGGAAAAATAAGAATTTTGAAAATATTGATGATTTAGACAGAATTCCCAGGAACCCTGTCATGCAAATCTCCCACCTTTCGTCTCTTGCCCGTCAACTACGAGTCACTTGATCACACTTTTGTTACATGCACGAGTAATCCCTCACCTTCCTTACTCTGTCGAGTAATTTCAGTTCATAGCTGCACTATTGCCTGAGCATAGCTGTATTGTATGAGATTAGTTCTCCCCTGACCTCAGTCTGGTCTGTAACAACACAATCTGAAAGGAGAATGGTTGATTTTGATTTTTTTTAATTGCTAGTATTGTACAAATGCTGTATATTTTTTCATGCGAAATCTCTTTATATGTTTTCTATGAAGCTTTTCCCCTTAACTGCCTTGTACAAATTAGTACTGCCTAATCTAGACGATCATATATTTAATTATGTTGCCTTTATGCCATAATATTTTCAGGACTAGCGGGGCTGCTCGGCTGCATTAAATTAGATTTTGGTGTCTGCAATCTTGGCGCCTCTTTGCTTTGTGCTATTTTCAGGCCTAATAGTCTTGCGCATTTCCTTGAAAATCCTCAGAAATTATCTCAATAGGAGAGATGACTACGACTGGTACGAGAAATTTTAAGGAAAAACGGATTTCAAAGAGGTGGCGACTGAGTAGACATGGGCCCAATTGGTCGGATCTCCCCCTCGACATCCTTGAACGTATAATTGGGCGTTTGCGTTGGGTAGATCGAAGCCGGATACAAGCAGTTTGCAAGGCTTGGTCAGTCCCAAACACTTGTATTCCTGCTATTGGTGAACTCCCCTGGGCAATGAAATTTTGTTGGCGTTATGCCTCTTTGTATCTAATACAAGGTGAGTGCCGGCTGCTGGACCCTCTTTCCAGAGAGTACCTTGTCGAAGAAAGGAGCAGAGGACTAGAGTATCTACTTTTCCTTGATGCACGACCTTGTGCTTCTTTATATGGGTGGGTTCTTTTCAAAGTGTACGGCTTTATTGAAGAAAAAAAAGAGTCCCTCTTTTTGTACTCTCCGTTAACAACTGAGGTAATTAGGCTTCCCTATTTAGGGGGACCTCCCACATTTCAGGTGGCGACGTTTGCCTTGAATGCAACATCCCCAAAATGTACCATCTTTCTTTTGTGGAGTGAAAATGGAAAAATTTGTATTAAGTTATGTTCTGCCGGTGATTGTTCATGGAAGACTTTTGAGTTTGATGGTTTTGATCGGTTTAATCGTGCTAATGATGCTGCCTACACCAACGGAGTTTTCTATTGTGTTTTTAGAGAAGGTCAATTGGGTGCCTTCAATGTTGAACTTAAAGGGTGGACTATTCTGGTTGATCATTGTCCACTCGTTGATCATTGTCCACTCTCACGAAGTAGTGTGCATTATGCTAAACTCATTGTGTCTGGTGCAGATCTGCAACTGTTGTCTGATAGCTCATCTTTGGAACTCCTTAAGCTTGATTTTGCAAAGATGGATTGGGTTTATGAAAATGATTTGAATAACCGGGTGTTGTTTATCGGGTGCACTTCTTTCTCTGTTCCAGCAGTGGGGGAAGCAAATGTATTAGCGAATACCATATTCGCTTCTGGTACTTTGATGCACCCCAAAGTTAGATTTTATGGCAGCACATCTCCAAGGCAGTCGAGACTCTACCGTAAGTGTGTTGAGGCAGCAAAGTGCGACAGGATTTGGATTGAACTTCCGTTGGGTGGTATTTGGAGAGCCGATGATTTGATTCATGCTGTCTAGTTGAATGCTGCAATGCAAACCAACCATCAACAGCATTTTTATTTATGTTTAGATCAATTAATTATTCCTGGAACATCATATGTTTTCATGAATGGAGTGTCAATTTTAGCAAGTATTCCTGGTGCTTCATCAGAAGATCTTTGACCTTAGTTATGGGGTTTAGATCATGGAAAGAAGATTTAGCTAAGAATTGATAAAACCATAATAGATTAACTAAGTAATAAATAAATTTAAAGAATTGAAAGTTGGTGAAAACAAACCTTAAAACACAAGACTCCGATACAATATATCAATATATATATATATATATATATATATATATACAGAGAGAGAAAAGGCTTAATACCCAAATAAGTGTCCGAACTATAACTCCTTTTCCTGAATAGGCGCCTATAGTATTTTTCGGACCATTTAGGTGACTAATGTTACAAACGTTATCACTTTAATTGTCTGAACCGATAACGATGTTATTTTACTCCGTTAAGTGACACATGTCACAATTTTATAATTTAATTTTTGTCATATAAAATAAAAAAAACATTATATTTTTTTAAAAAGAGGCATAAATTTCGAAATACCTCTAAAACATTGAAAACCTTCATTTTAACACCTAAACCTACTCCGACCGTCGCCCTTTGTCGTCGACGAAGCTCTACCCGACCTCACCTCCTGCTGGGGACCAAAACCCCTACGAAATCGTGACCTAACGATTGTCGATCGACTGTGAATCGATGTTTTATACCCCGCAAACCCTATGATGAAAATCGCGATCTCATGCGATTCTGATGACCAATCGACGATAACTACGGCATCGTATAACTAGGACGATGACAGAGACTACGTTGGCGACGGCGGTCATGGCCGGAGAGGGGGTGGTGGTAGTTTAGTGTTAGGATTTGGAGATTTTAGGGATTTTGAGACTTTTTTGTAATTTAATAGAAATGAAGTTTTTTTTATAAATGTAATAATATTTTTAATTTTAAAAAAAATTATAAAATTATTATATTATGACGTGTGTCGCTAAACGGAGAAAATTAACGGTTATTACGGCCCGAGCACCTAATGTGGTCAAGTTTGTAGCATTAGGCACTTAAATGGTCCAAAAAATAGACATCTATTTGGGGAGAAATATATAGTTTAGGCACTTATTTTGGTATTAAGCCTAATTTTTAATTTGACCTATAAACTTTAGATACAATATCAACTTAACCCCTAAATCTAATCAAAATCATCTGCCATTGGTAGTTAGATCGGCGATTGTTAGACCCAAAATTTTTACTTCACTTATTTTTTACCTCATAAACATGAATCTGATTTATATTTCATCAAAAATGTCTCAAACTTCGTAAATTTAATAATACCATCAAACTAACAATATTTATGTTTCAATAACTAAAACATTACATATCGACAACATAAATGATCAAAATATTTTTTTCTAAATTAAATAAAAAAATAAACACTTATAAAATGAAAGTAACCGTTCTAATACTTTAGCCAATAAAACTGTGAAAACGCAACATTAAAACAATGTCACTTAATTGATGGGAAAATATTAGTTATAGGTTTAATTTGTAGAGATCTAATTCAAAATTCAATTTGTCAAACCCTAATGTATGACTAACATGAAATGATTTTAGAATTTATTATTACTATTATTATGAATTGGTTTGATTTCTTTTATTTATTTATTTATCATTATTTATTGATTTGAAGAATAATTATTTAATATAGCCTACAAGCAAGATTAAGAAATTATTACATATGACGATTATTATTTAAAAAAGATAAATTGCGCAAATAATTCCTCGATTATAGAACGCTATTTTGTTAATTCTTTCGACTATTAAAAGTTATGAAATATTTCTTTAAGTAAATAGCAGTGTTCTACAACTTTTAAGAGTAGAAGAATTCAACAAAGTGACTACATAGACCACTTGGTTCGTGTGACTACAAGCAACGCTCTATAGTAGACGAATAACATTTATTCATTTACCACATAGACCACTTGGTTCGTGTGACTACAAGCAAGGTTAAGAATCACATATGACAATTATTACTTGAAAGGCTTTTAGTTGAAGAAGCATCGTCTTCCGGTGACTTTTCCGAAGACACACTATGTTCTCGGCGACTTTCCAAAGACGCATTGTGTTCCCAACGACTTCCAACAGGTACTGTAGCATTCACAATAAACCAGAAAATAATTTCGATTAGACCTTATTTCAACGAATAATGTTTTAACAACCCTACAACAGAAAATCAACCCTTCATTGATACAGTTAGGTGGGAGAACTACTATACAAATCATTTTCTATTGGGTCCACCTTTTTCTTAAAAATATTCAATTATATCACCCTCGTCCATACTTCATCATCTGCTCAAAGTTACAATATATTATTTACTAACCACATTAATTCACTAATAATATTAATTAAATTAAACTATGATCGATACAAGATTATAAAATAAAGACATAATATTAAAAAAATTGTATTATTTGATGAAGTAGTTACTTTGGTATTTATATTTTAGAGTATTTTGGCATCTAATATTTTATTTTGAGATAAAAAGATCTCTCAATGAATGATAATCAAAGTCAACAAACAATTAATATTCCAAAATATGAATATTTTGTCTTAAATATTAAACATTAGTTGGTCAAAATGCTAAAAAAATAAAGTCAAAGTGACTATTTAGTCAAACGTTAGAAGTTATCTTACCTAAAATGCTTAAAGAAAAAAAAAGAAATTAAATGACTATTTAATCAAATATTAGGCGTATTTTTTAAAATTATGCCTAGGAATGGGCACAAGACTCAAACTTGATGGTCTTCGACGAGACCCAACCCTAGTGGCTTATGTTTTTTTTCTTTCAAAATTCAAGTTTGAGTTGGATCAGATTTTTTAGAAGATAAGTTCGAGTTTAGATTTTGGAAGAAATATTCGACCTACCCAATCCAAAAAATAATGTAAGTACACATTATATATTTAGAGATAATTGCATTATTATTATTCTCTCTCTATATATATATTCAATTAGATCCTTATTTTATTAAATACAATTAAAAATATTATATATGTTTATATATTTGTGTTGGATTAAATACATATTTTATTTTAAAAGACTGGTCGGGTGGAGTCACCATAAACTAGGGTTGAATCAAATTTTTGATGTTATTTTTTATTACTTTTAATCAATTTTTTAAGAGATTGTAAACTAAATTCTACAAATGATTTTGGTTTAATAATAAAATCAATATTTTAGAAATTTTCTAATATTAAGTTGGAGTTTTATCTTATGCAAGTTTTGTATAAATTCTCCCAAAATTTCTGCACTTGTCTCTCCTCCGCCGCAGAGGTTCTTCCTTGTCTTTATTCTTAATTTATAGTTGTTTCATGGGTAAGGCAACTTCAATACTCAATGAGCCTTAATCGGCGGTTCGCTTCGATGCCGGTCCACCATTCATACCTCTAATCCAAAGCTCCCAACACAGTGTGAGTTTTGTTCGAGTGATTGATTTAACTTCCCCAAATTTCGATTTTTTATTATATTTATTATTTCCGAAACTGCAGGTTTAGCTTTCCAGAAGCAGCCCCTTTTAAAGCCATCTTGAAATTCAGAGCCCCTCCCCAAAATCATCAATGGTAAATCAATTCCTTCCATCTACTTTTGTTAAGTATTATTTTTGTATTTTTTGTTTTGTTTTGCATGTTTTAATTAGGATTTGGGATTGGCAGGTTTTAACTGGCTTAGATTAGCATTTTTGGAGGGAAAAATAAGAATTTTGAAAATATTGATGATTTAGACAGAATTCCCAGGAACCCTGTCATGCAAATCTCCCACCTTTCGTCTCTTGCCCGTCAACTACGAGTCACTTGATCACACTTTTGTTACATGCACGGGTAATCCCTCACCTTCCTTACTCTGTCGAGTAATTTCAGTTCATAGCTGCACTATTGCCTGAGCATAGCTGCACTATTGTCTGGTCTGTAAAACACAATCTGAAAGGAGAATGGTTGATTTTGATTTTTTTTAATTGCTATTATTGTACAAATGCTTTATATTTTTTCATGCGAAATCTCTTTATATGTTTTCTATGAAGCTATTCCCCCTTAACTGCCTTGTACAAATTAGTTACTCCCTAATCTAGACTATATTTTCAGGACTAGCGGGGCTGCTCGGCTGCATTAAATTAGATTTTGTTGTCTGCAATCTTGGCGCCTCTTTGCTTTGTGCTATTTTCTCTCTTCAAAAAGAGAGGGGGAAAAACATTTTCAGTTGTATAAGTTTGGATGGGTGATGTCTGCACAAGTCATCCAACACGTTTGAAACTGTATCTCAAGTCTGGTTTGATTGTCTAGTTAAAGTCAACCGCATAAAAAAACGTAGCCCATTGAAACCCAAAGAATCATCCAACAAATTAGGACAGTTGTCAAGAGAAGAACCCCTTGTAACCAGTCCGGCTCCAGCCGCCCTTCCTGTCTTTCATTGATTAGCCTCATCTTCCTAATAGTCTTTCTCATTTCCTTGAAAATCCTCAGAAATTATCTCAATAGGAGAGATGACTACGACTGGTACGAGAAATTTTAAGGAAAAACAGATTTCAAAGAGGCGGCGACTGAGTAGACATGGGCCCAATTGATCGGATCTCCCCCTCGACATCCTTGAACGTATAATTGGACGTTTGCATTGGGTAGATCGAAGCCGGATACGAGCAGTTTGCAAGGCTTGGTCAGTCCCAAACACTTGTATTCCTGCTATTGGTGAACTCCCCTGGGCAATGAAATTTTGTTGGCGTTATGCCTCTTTGTATCTAATACAAGGTGAGTGCCGGCTGCTGGACCCTCTTTCCAGAGAGTACCTCGTCGAAGAAAGGAGCAGAGGACTAGAGTATCTACTTTTCCGTAAGGCACGACCTTGTGCTTCTTTATATGGGTGGGTTCTTTTCAAAGTGTACGGCTTTATTGAAGAAAAAAAAGAGTCCCTCTTTTTGTACTCTCCGTTAACAACTGAGGTAATTAGGCTTCCGTATTTAGGGGGACCTCCCACATTTCAGGTGGCGACGTTTTCCTTGAATGCAACATCCCCAAAATGTACCATCTTTCTTTTGTGG